GATGTTGCAGTAACTTATTGTAGGTACCTTATTTGTTTTATGTTTCCATAATATAATAAGAGCTTTAGCTAACTTAGCTTTAGCGGTCAGAATAATCTAATACATATTTATTTATTTTTAATGAATAATGCTTAAAAAAACAACTTTGTCCCTGGCACTCCGAGATGGGACTCTGAAGCTTTTAAACATTTTTTATTAAGAATATTTTAAACTATACTCGTAGCATTGTGTAACTTGAAATATCATGTAATAATATTTCCCTTGCCCTATTTTAAAATTACCTTCTCAGCAACTACTTATTAAGAACATTAGGAATTTCATTACATATAACAGTTAAAGAATTTCTTATCAACATAGGTAATCACATTTTGTGAAATAAGTATGGAGATAAAATCGAACTGAAGGCATTGCGTTAATAATACGTAAAAATTCTTTAGATGTAAATTTTCTTGTAAGGCACATAGATTTTATTAGATGTTATTTTAAATTTGTCGATGTGATAAAAATGTACCTACGATTCAACCTCCTTAGATTAGATTTATGTTAATTGTAAATATGATTATTGAGAAATATTTGAAAAAGTCTGAAGACCGTCTAAACAGTTGAAATAAAAAATAAAAAACTTTTTTTTTTCTTACATTAGTGAACAAGTAATTACAATATGCTTATGACATAGCGAACTTTTTATAGATATTTTTAAGCCCCAGACTTTAGCTTAAAATAATTTCATGTATCTTATAAACATACAAATATCAGTATTTTCACCTCTGTTATATTGGTGGAAAATAATTTAGTACAACAATGTATGTTTACATATCAAATGAGGAATTAAAAACAAGTTCAATGAATTCAATAACTCAACGATAAGTTATTAAAGACTGGATGTATGTAGCTTGTAGGTATGTAGGAGTATGTGTATAGGATTTATTTTTTATTGCAAAGCATGATAGATTATTTGTAAGAAGGCAACGAGAGAAGGATAGTGCCCGGTTTCAATAACTAACGTACCGTTATTATTTCGGATATTTTCAAAAGGACGCATGTATGATGCTGTTTATCATCCAGACGTTAAGTCAATTACATTGTTCTTTAAATGCCAGAAAATATACGGAATACCTAGAAGTTTTTAAAATGCTGATATGCAAAGACAGCAAGGATTTTATGAGAAATGCAATGATTTATTCAAAATATATCGATTACAAAGTCAAACTGAGCAGAGAATGCCTCCGGAATTAAGTTCGACATTTGCTTTAATGTATCTTCTTCTTAATCTATGGCTTTAATAAAGAATAAATAAATAATCTGCCTTAAAAACTAAACAATGACGAGGATAATAACAAAAATAATAGTAAACCTAACCTAACGTCAAAAAACTATATACATACTGTATACAAGAGTAGTGAGGGAGGAACATTACGCTAGTAGCCGATTACTTATGATTTATCTAGTCACTGTTTTTTTTTCATTAATTAATAAACTATCGAATATTTGACAATACAAAAATAAAACAGAGTGTGAAACTATTGATTTTTAATACCACAGAAGCTTTACAATAAGCAATAAGTATTATTAAACGATTAAGTAAATAACTCAATCAATGCATTTTACTTAAAAATTGAAGATTCACCTCGCCCATAAAAGACACAAATCTTTAGTTTTTTTTTATTAAAAAAAATTTCAAACACAAATTATACATGCCTAGTGTAATTTATTTTTAGGATAATAACTACATAAAATTCATGTAAACAGAAATGTTTTCTTTTACATATTTGCGCACAAATATTTTTTTAGAATGGTATGTTAATTTGATGTATGATGCAACCGAAAGCATTCGTCGGTCATTGCTGACGCAAGTAACGTGAGTTCCCGCTCAGATTCGATCCGAAATTCCCACACGTGGAGCTTTTGCGAAGCTCTAAGAACTGCAACAAGTCACGCAAAAATATTAATTATGTGACTTTACCTATACATCCACAAATCCCTTGCATACGGTAAAATTTTCCGAGTAAGTCACTAGTTTTGTTTTTTTTTTTCATTGAGGGACGTTAGACACATTAAAATGTCAAGGTTCACTGAAAGTTGACATAATTCTATACAAAGGAGCACGCAGGCCGGCGTTAGTATTTACGATGCGATAGACTTAGTATTCGATATTATTTTTTTTTGTAATAAACGATCAAATGGTAATTGATACGTTTAAGGTATTTTCTTTTTATGGACTCTAAATTGATTTTATAAATGTTGTAATACGGATTCCAGATTATTGTAACATATTCCACTTGCGACCACACCAAAGCTTAGCAATAAGAAAGTCTTACTTTTAAAAGTGCACGGTAATAAAAGGTATCTAATAAGAAGCTTCGAGCATTTTCTTCGTTAACAGTGTTTTTTTATGTTGCAGACAATTACAATTATTAGAATATTATGAATCTTGTCATTTTTTTCTTGAATAAACAAAATTTTTAAATAAATCCTAAATAGACCTTACAAAACAAACATCAATCAGGCTTGAAATTTTTTGAAACTCGTAATTGTCGATTGGGTGTCAAAATTTTATTAATACAGACCTATAAGTACATCTACTTACCTATATTCGTCACTAGCTCAGTAGTTAGAGCAGTCGCTCGGCTTGCGAAAGGTTTTGGGTCAGAGTGCCAGGGACATAGAGGATTTTTAAGCATTCTTCATTAAGAATATCTTTTAGGATTATCGATTTTAATCTTTAAAAAATATGAAATTAAAATAGACACGTTCGTATATATTTCATATATTCTGGTTTATTATTGGTAAAACCATAATATTTATGTTATTTATTAATAATAGGTTTAACCAAAGGAAGTAATTTGTGCACTGATAACCATTTTTTTTTCTACATAATAAGAACTTTTCTTAAATTCAGTACGCTATATTCATATATATGTTTTTTTCGGAATATGTAAACTTTTTCAAAAATGGATAAGAAATGGATAGGAGCATAGGAGGGGAATATCAATGGTTTCTAGACGTGCCGCCCGCATGTCCTGCGCGCTGGCTCGTGACCTACAAGGTTAAATCATCGTCATGATCATTAGCCCTTTTACGTCCCCACTGCAGGAGCTCAGGCCTTCCTTATGGATGGTTAAGGAGGATGGGCCATGACTGGCCCCGGTCTGGGTGCCCGGCTCGGCCGCCATACACACCGCTTTGGTGTGTGTGGCGGCCGGTCCGGGCGGTACCATTCCGGGGCCGCGCAGAGAGAAGCGGCGGAGCCGGTTGATGAGGCCTGATAACGCCCTTTTCAGGGCTGTGGTCGGGCCGTAATCCGGTGGTAGCTGCGACCGTACGGGGGGAGGGATCCACGATAAGGGCTCTGCCTGTGTGGGTCCTTCCAATAGATAGGAAAGAGACTAGAGATTGCACAGTCGCGCATCTCTAGTCCATAGTCGGGGGCAGCTGGCTGGTTTGCGCACTAGCCGGCATTGCACGTCTCCGCCCTGTCTGGGGGGGTACGTTTCGAGTGTCTCTGGGATGTGCCGCCCAACCCGCGAGGGACCTGCCCTTTTCAGGGCGGGCCGAAATGGGGGCGAATCGCGCGGTGTATGGCCTCCGGGCCGATCCCGTGCATCGCTTTCCATGCGAGGGACATCGCTGAGTTTTAGTGGGTAAACTCCTGTTTCTTGTCTAGCCCCTTCGGGGGTGGGGCCACAGGAGGAGTCCCACATAACCCGTGAAGCCCGCGCTGGGTGTAGCGGGTATACGTTATGCATTTCTCAGCGTCAAAAAAAAAAAGTGTGGGCCATGACCCTCCACGCTAGCCCAATGCGGATTTCAGGGTATTAACAACTGCAAATGCAGCCGGGACCAACGGCTTAACGTGCCTTCCGAAGCACGAAGTAGCTCGAGATAATAATTTTTTGGTCACCTATCCCGTGACCGACCCTTGCGAAAGTCACTTAACCACAACGATCGCGAGCCGCAGCACTTCTCCACTACGCGACCGAGCTACAACAAGATTAAATATAATCACAATAAAACTTTTTAACACACTTTATGACAAGTGTCCATATCCACATTATGTATTGTTATGCATTATTACATTATGTTTTTTGTATTGGTAAAGATGCAGTTTTACATTTTGATTTTACTTACTGTATATCTACAATTTTTTGTCATAATTATTTTATTTAATAATGATCAAAGCTTTTTTGTGAGAAATCACTTTTATGAGAAGCGGCTTCAACGCCTGCGTGTTTAATAAGAGCAATTTTAACTACAAAAGATGGTAGTAGCTTTTTTAGATTGCAGTCGGAGATTAGTTATAGAGACTTTATAACTATTATAAAGAGAAAGATCCTGCAAAAGTTTATAAGGCACTATTTGGTCCTAACCATGCGAACCATAGACAAGGCATAGATTTATTACATATATCCAATTTTAAACTTGCAGAACCCTATCATTTTGGAATCTGGCGCAATAATAATCGAAATATTGACTACTACTTATATACTGACATTATAATGAGGAAATATTTGATTGTTTGCATCGAATAGGCTCCGAAATTGCTGGACTGCGGTTGACACATGTTATAATTTACACGGGAAACAGTTGTATTGCTCATACACATAACCGCATATTGAACGAAAAAATAGCTCACAAGGCGTTTCTGTCACAGTTAAACAGCCACAACGCGAAATTCGTGTTAAAGCTCTATTGAAAACGCTCACAACGCGTCGTAGCAATCACAGAAAGACCTGGGGGCCAATTCTACTAAATAAATTTTGTTTAAATCGAATCGAAAACGGATCGAAACCAAACGATACTAGAGTTTTTAATGGTTTTTCTATTCTACTAAGTGACATACAATACAATTTCAGCTAAAATAGAACTAGAATTGTATCGTATGTCACTTTGTAGAATAGGAAAATCATTGAAAACTGTAGTTTCGTTCGGTTTCGATCCGTTTTCGATTCGATTTAAACAACATTTATTTAGTAGAATTGGCCCCCAGGTAGCGAAATTCTTGTTCTTACATGCTATTCGCCCTCGACGCATTGTGGCAATGATGAAGTCATTTACTATTTTACTTTCAACACTTTATCACTTATTGAGTGGATTTTTTGTTAATAAAATAATCCTAAAAATCAACAAATTTATTGTTACTTTAAAGTCACGATTAAAATAATATATATGACAATATTTTTGCAAAAAAAAAAGGGAATTAAGACATTTTCTACAGTTAGTACTAGTAGGATCCAGATCATAAAGCACTGTGCATCTTAATTAAATATGGTTCCAAACGTTTCATGGCTTTTCCTTCGTTGCCATTACGCGTTGTGACGTGAGCGTTTTCATTAGAGCCATGACATGAATTTCGCATTGTGGCTGTTTAGCTGTGAGCACAACGTGTAGTGAGCCATTTTTTCGCGCAATGAGCGATTTCGGTCTCTGAGCATAACATGCATACAATAAAAAGAATCTATTTTTATTACTGCTCTTTATTAACAAAGTTAAAAAACTGACAAATCTTTTAAAAATCGAATACAATAATAATTGTGATATATATCCAAGATCATTTATCTCTCCATTTAAACAAACTTGCTTAAAAATATAAATAAAAAAGAAACATATATTTTCATAATACAACTGAACATGATGTAAATTTAAAAATTACTAATATATTATTTTCAACCTTAAAAGCCATCTACAGTGATCAACACTAAAGAACAATTATTATTGAAAATATTGTAACTAAACAATATCACAAATGCTATTTGTCCACTGTAAAAGCTTTTTAATATTTATTTAAACTTTATACAAACCTTAGATGAAATAATGGTATCCCTTCTTTTGCATAATTTTCCTAATATACTTTGTCATAACAACTTTGCTGTAATTGTTTTTAGCATAAAAATACTTTTGCATTAATATCCTCCAAGCTTATTTTCAATTGCCATAGTGTTACTACATATAAATTAACTGATCAATCAATTAGGTCCATGAACTTAATGGTTTAAGATATGCTTAAAAAATAATGCATTAGCTGTTATGCAGTGTTATGCGTAAATATAATTAGGACTTACAATAGTAAGCCATGTATTATTATGTCTTATAATTTCATGCAAATGAGTAGGGAACATGAAATAACAATAGTAATATTCAACTTTGTATATTATGCCAATGTTAAATTGTAAACATCTTTGGTTTATAATCTGTCATGTTGGATAATAAACAATTTATGTTGTTTGATTATAATATTGTACAAAAATCATAATCTGATGATATTTACGATTATGCATTGGCATTGATTCACCTAATTATATATTATTAGCTATTTATTTAAAGTAAAAGTGTTTGATTATAACTCAAATCTTGTTAGGATCATAAAGAAATTGTAAGTTATATACATAATTATTAAAGTATTAGAAGTAATTTTTATATCAGTTCAAATGTGATTTTAATTAAACTCTGTGGATTAAATACAAAATTTTTCATTTAATTACAGTTTTTATCACTATTGCAAAACCACTTAATTTTTTTATTGTTTAATTACCTACATAACAACTACTGAATTTTGACATATAAAAATTGTATAACTTCATTATACCTCACAATCAAAGTAACAAAATATGTATGTATGTTATAAAATTATTATTTCGGTGTTCATTGCTTTTTATACATATTGATAATTAAATATGGAAAAAATAGTAAATTTATAAAAGTGTAATAATAAATATGTACATATTTATGTCAAAAACAACTTCCCAATTACTGTTAAAAATGTCATTTAATACTATTTTAATTACCCTACATAATTCAATATAAATTTAGAATATTTTCAATCCATTTATGATTTATGCACAACTTACAACAATCTTATGCCAAATTTTAAATAGTCATTGAAAATACCAAAGGAGGCAAAACAACTATTGTATTAAATTATAAAAAAGCATAGTATGCTAATCATCAAGCTTCTTATATCATCTATCATACACATGCAGAGACAAGAAAATTCATTTTGTTTGCTTCCTTGGGCTCCGATCAATCTGCTATCAGCTTTATATACTATTCTTAAACTAAGAGATAGTGCACCTTATTAACAGGTCCTCACAAAATAGATATATATAATTTCATAGACATGTGTGTAAAAAACTTTAATGGAAGCATCATAATTTTTTTGAATCTTTAGATAATGTTTTCAGAGTGAACATAAATAATACATATTCTTTTACACATCAATACATTAATATTCTATTAGTAATCTACTCTATAATAATCTATAGGACTTCATTTCACTTCTCTCTTAACAGACACAGTCTTATCTGTGGGTTTGGTGGGTTGTTTAACTGTGGATCATTTTTTCTTCCTATCCTGTGTACACTTTGGGCAATACCATTTACCTTTAGGTTTAATCTTGAGATCCACACATGCAAAGTGAAACCACTCTATGGGACAATCAGGATTATCACAGCCAATCATCTCACCATAAGACACTTGATGACAAAGACAATACGTCGGCTCATTAGGATCAACAGGCATGTCAAGTACATCACTGGGATGAGCCATAGCAACTGAGTCCAAATCAGCATTCTCTTCCTGTTCTTTACCAGTGTTAGTTGTAGCTGCTGCTCCTTTACGCTGAGCCTTTTTCTTTGCAGCTGGCCTACCAGATGCAGCGTCATCTTCACTGGAAGCACCGGCACGCTTCTTTTTGCCAGTTGCAGTTGCTGCCTTTTCATTAGCCTTGTGTTTTTTCCTGCCTTTTTTAACTGTGGTAGTATTAGTCTCTTGGTCAGCGGCAGCCTGTTGAGCAGCTCTAGCGCTCATAACTTTCTCTTGTATCTCGGATTCGAATCTTGCAAGGTCAGAATCAAGTCTTCGTATGTGTTTGTCAACCAACTCATATGTTTGAATCGCAAGTTGAACTTTATCGTCGCCATATTCTTTTGCTTTGTTGAACAAGCCTTGTATGGTGTTTACCTTCTCTTTTTTTGTTTCTTCGTCCATTTTTGGAATTGTCGGTAGTAGCTCATCAGCCATAAGATCGATTGTTCTCATTAGGCCGTGTGCACGATCGTCAAGATCTCGCATCAATTTAAAGTTCCTTTGCAGTTCTATAGGTAAATGCTGTAGACTATCAAGATAGTGCTCTAAGTAAAGGGCTGAAGTCATTTTATAATATTTCGTAACAACTTCAAAAAATGAAAGTACAACTGCAAACTGAAAATAAGCGCAACAATTTAACACGGCAGAAGCTTGCTCTTTATCACTAGACAATAAGACCACAAATCACTACACGAGTCAACATTGACTATTTCTTATGGCGCAAGACCCAATTTAATTCAAAAATTACGAATAAAACTGAGATGCATTTTTCTTCAATACAGTTTAATTTCTTCCAAAGAAAGAGTAGCAAAAACATAGATTTTTTTTTTGATACAATTTTCCCATACAGGGGAGGGAAAGGCAAAGGGTGCTTAGCCCATACAGCCTAAAACATAGATAATACAAAGAGTAATAGAGTGATGCGTAGAAGAGTAAACAGCACAGATGCTTTATTAAGTAAGCGTCGACTAGACTCGCTTACCCATCGTCTATAATAGGCGGAACAGACTCGCACCGAGAAGTCTCGCCGAGCCTTTTCGACGAGAAGAAATATAAAAAAATGAGAAAACGAGAAACATTCACGAGTCTTGGGTGTTCTCGAGGTTTCTCGGCATAAGTCTGTCCGGCCGTATAATCATACCACTTTCCATACATTGACTTACTTGCCGCATGTTTTGTTTTTAATGTTGTGCATCTACCCACCTACCCACCATAGAATCTTACTTTCTTCATTTGGAGGCCAGGGAGATCTGTGGTGTGTAGATAATGTTTTGAGGTTATAATTGCTGTAAAACTCGAGATAATGAAGAAATATTTAAAAATAACATTAGTTCCCGAAATCACACTAGATGTCGCTTTAGTACTTTCTTGATTTCTCCATGACGACTGTCACTTTCGAAATTGACATTGACGGATGGTGACATTTTGAGCGGCAAATGAGAACCCCCACAAGTAGGTGAAAAAGTTGTGTCAGAATCAGTTTTTGTTTTTGATAGTTTTTGAAAAATATATGATAAACTAGTCAAAGTTGTGTTTTAATATCACTTACATAATATAATTAGTTCCAATTTGAAATAATAGATGGCGCTGACCAATTGTCAATCGCGGTGTTATTTTATTTTCACACAATAATTGATATATATAATTGTGATTATAATTAATACTGATTTATCCATGTTTTTAAGTAAATTCTATGACAAAATTACAGTCTCCCATTGAACTCTCACTCTAGACCTCGAATAGAGTGTTCTTCCTCCACTTGTTCATGGTCCTTAGAGTCGATTTTGGCTTAAAAAAGTGCAATTTTTGGTAGTCTTCAAAAGTGGTGATTGATTACCACCCGTTACATTAATACCAAAGAGTAGTTGTATATAAATGGGTATATCTAAACATATTGGTAAAGACGGGGAACCTATGTATGCCCGATTTTAAAACACTTGAAAAAATTTTCGTGATTGAACTTAAAAAACTGAAGATTTTCGTAAAGAATCAAATCAAATTTATTCAGTCTAGGCTGTTACAAGCACTTGTGAAGTCGAGAGCTACGCCATCGGTTCGTAAATCTACGGGGGGAAACCTTGTACCGAGAAAAAGCGGCAAGAAACTCGGCAAGGGCTGCTTTTTTCTCCCTATTTTATTTCATACAGGGCGTCAATATTGAAAAAATAACTTCATTAAAATATGAAGTCAATTTCCATTACAATATTATAAAAACAAAAGTAAAATATTTAAATAAAATAAAATATAAAAGTATTTACGTCAATCGAATCACAAGTCTCGTCAAACAAACTCGCCGATAAATAATTTAATAATTACATAAAAATAAGCTATTTTCAACACTAAGCAGTTTTGTCGCTTAAGTATTCATTAACAGTATAATATCCTTTACTGAGTAGACAATTCTTAATATGGGTTTACAATTTAGGCAAGGGTAAGTTTAAAATTTCCATAGCAGAAAGTAGTGAAGATTTTGATTGAAGATTGATTGTTTATGCTGATTTGATTATTATTTAATTGTTACTTTTAAAGAACAATAATAAATATGGAATCTTTCAATGAACTTCAGTTTGATATTAAAACCAAATTAGAAAGGCTAAAATAAAATAGAAAAAATGTTCTTAAGATCGCTTAACAGTATCGTGTAGCATCATACTTTGCTGCATCCCAATGGTGGTTCAGTGTCTTCAGAACAGAACATTCCAGTCTTAAAGAGTATTACATCTCTTCTTCCAACGGTAAAAACTTGTCACATAGCATGGGGACCATTAAATAAAGCAGAATTAGTATTGAACGTGGTTTGCTCTTAGCGCAGGACCCAACATTTGGTTGGATAATATAAGGTGTTATCAATTCCGATTGTTCAACCAGCGAGCAGCAGTATCCAAACCGAAGATCCTCTTAAGCGGTTCTGGGACTTGGAGACTGAGTCCGACTGGATCTGAAAAAATGTTAAGTAAAGAAGAGAAATTATGTGAATAGCTTTTTGTGGAGACATTTACAAGAAATGAAACTGGTCGTTATGTGGTGCGGCTTCCGTTCTGAGATGATAAACGTAGTTGACATCCCAAAACGGAATATGGCAAGTCCGTACTAACACCTAACAAAATGTTTCGAGGATACGAATACAAATTAACAAGAAAACTCAAATTAAAAGAAGAATATAGAAAGATAATACATGAATATGCAGAATTGAAACATATGATAAAAGTGCCTAAAAAAGAAACGAATAAAGGTTTGTACTTACCACTCCATGCGGTCATCCGTGATGACAAGGAGACAACTAAAGTGCGCGTGGTTTTCGATGCTTATTGCTAGAGAGAGAGAAAAATGGAGTATCATTAAATTATAACCTTATGGTAGGTTCCAGTTTGCAGGCAAATCTGCGACATACGGTTATGGGGAGGCGTCATCCTGTCTGCATAGTTGCAGATATTATTAAGATGTATCGGCAGGTACTAGCTGATAGAAAAGATATGACGTTTCAACGTATTATTTGAAGGGATAGCCCTGAACATGAAATGGAAGAATTCGAGCTAGTAATGGTTATATTTGGAACTGCATCGGCTCCATTTTTAGCAGTTCGTGTGTTGCGTCAAGTTGCCCACGTCGAAGGTCAGGAGTGGCGAAGCAAATAATCTTGAATGACTTACATGGATGACTTGATGACAGGATCTGAAAATATAAAAGAATGTTATACAATTTACAAGGAAATAAGTAGTGTATTAGAAAAGGTTGGATTTATTTTACAGAAATGGAAAATCAATAGTCGGGAATTGTTACGTAAAATTACAAAAGGTACTAATGAGAAGAACGAAGATATTACAAATAAAATTAGATGATGTTACTAAACTTTTGAGTCTTACTTGGGATCCAAGCTCCGACGTTTTTAAGTACTCCGTTGAAATAACTGCTCCAGATGAACCTGTAACAAAAATAAAATGTTATCAGAAATAAGTAAATTATTATTAATATTATTGTTTTAGCCTAGTATTATTTTAGCCAAAATAAAGACCCAAAAATTATGACTTGCAGGTATTAATTGGGATCAAGAAGTTCCAAGCAATTTATTAAACGAATGGATTACTTACCGTAATGACTTAAATGCATTAGGTGGAATTAAAATCCGACGCTGGATATGTACAAAATCTAACGATGTAAAAGTTGAGTTGCATGGTTTTTCAGATGCATCCAAATTAGCTTATGCAACATGTCAGAGTAATAGATGCTGAAGGTCATATACGAGTAGCGTTGAAAATGAAGGGGAGTAGCCCCAAAAGAAGTACGTGTTACATCAGCTTGATTCGATGGACTCGAATTTCTAAAGAAACTATCGATAAATTTTAAAAGACCTGTAAACAAACGCATAAACTCAAAAGAAATAAAAACCCTTACCTGCATTAAAACCGATAGTGAATCTTTTTTGCGCAAATATTCATCACTTAATATAATGGTTAGGATAGTAGCCTATTGCAAGAGATTTTTAAATCTCAGGAATAAAAATAATAAGAAAAACTGCACTAATTATATATCAGCTGATGAAATACAGGAATCATTAGAAGTTTGTATAAAAATATCTCAAAAAGATTTTGCCGAAAAAATTACAATCCTGGAAGAAAATGAAACATTCGTTTGAAAAAATTTGTCCTTATATTATTTCTTATCCCAGCTTCTGCACGGAAAGTCTCGCGCACTCATCATCCGGCTATTTCGTATGATAGTGTCACTTCGCTCCATTTCTGCCAACAAGGTGTCAAGGTGAAAGCAAAGAATTATCAGAGTGACATATGAGAGCCCGTGGTGAAACTCCTGTCTGATATGTTATTTCACAATAAGTATTTCACTTAGACTTAGCAAGACTTACAATTTTAGCGAAGTCACTCTTGAACCTTGTTTATTAATAGCACTATTAAATTTTAATATGTAGTAGTAGTACTAGTCGTTTGCTATATTTATTTACTTTAGCAAATTATTTTAAGTACTTATTTATATATTGGAGAATTTTAACCGTTATGTGCCAGACTGATGAATGTAGGGTTAAATGATCTGGAAAGTTTTTTAAAATTCATTATACTCAGATACAGAGTTTTATCTGTCCCAGCAGCACCACAAAAATAATAATTTGTAACATGGTCTGCTGACCTATTCACACCACTTTCATATCCCATGAACAAATCCACACATTTGTACAATACAGAAATAAAACACCACATGTATATTAACTTAAATTGTATTAGCAAATAAACAATTTATAAAATACTCTCTTATTACACATGACATTATAGTCCAATTTATGATGCACTGACATCGGTTTTAATTAATTATAATGTGATTTATTTCTAAGATTTTGGCTTTAATGCTATCACTTTTAAAAAGGCTTCAGAGAAAACAATAAATCACATTAAAATTAAAAACTGATATTAATTATTACAAGGACTCCATTAGTGAATACAACAACTTAGCTCATGATTTTATTATTTAAAATTATAAACATTCAAGAAATATGCAAATAAATAATCAGCGCTTGCCTTTAAAAGGGCAAATAAAGAGGCATTTACGTAATCTACATAATATAAAACATGCTTTACTTGTTTCACTTATAACTATAATTTACACTTACTAATTACTAATCATGTTCATATCATATGTATAAACTAATCTACATACAATCAAATTATACATACACGACAGATTACAATAAAAGTTCGTAATAAAAAGCATGATTTCCTTTCGCATACTGCTATTTAGTCTTCGTTTAGCGTGCGTCATTATTATGTGTTGAGGTATAATTGAAGATCGTGAGAGCTTTTAAATTATTTGTTGTATATTGTGTTATTTATTTGATAATAAATATAACGACCAACTGTTTCTAACCGGTGGTTCAGTATGTACAAACGGAGATACGACATAACTTTT